GTTATGTCTGTCTCACCAGGCAACACGCTTTGCCAAACTAAAAACAGGTGCAGACAAATATGTAGTCTAGTATGCTGGGAACTGCACGACATGATCTACATGTTACTCCCTTTTAATACACTGCAAAGCATGCTAATGATATCTGTCAGTCTGTCCACTGCTTTTACGTCTCAACAGCAACACGAGGAAGGATTTCCATGAAGTAGTGTGCAATTTCCACAAGAAAACTCTCAATGACTTTGCTGATCCACAAACTTCATGCTCCACTATGAGTGGCTTGTAATAAATTAGTTTTTCATATAGCACTATCTGAGGAGAATTTTAATTTATGCAAAACTTTGGCAATAGAAAAAGCCACAAATTTGATTGCACAAATTCTGCTAGCATGCACACAACCGACTGCTAAACCTCAACATACGGTTTTAGCATTGCATTGCTAGCTTTGCGGAGCTCAGATGGGAGAGGAGTCCAGAGGGTAGGGCTGCCACATTGAAAGCTCAGCGGTACAGAGGTTAGAGCGAGGGACAGACCCATGGCTGAAGATCGTAGGATCTGAGACGGTGTGCACGGGTGAAGGAGGTCAGACAGATACTGAAGGCCAGGGTATGGAGGGATTTGTAAGTGAGAAGGATCTAGTAAGTGATGTGTGACTTGATCGGCAACTAGAGATTAATGGGGGTTGGGGGGTATATGTTGCCAAAACTTAGTCTGTTTAAATGAGAGCCACTATAAAAGATGGACACAGTCACTCACTGGATAGTTAGTCACTTTTCTCTATCACCAGTGTTTTGAAACCAGATGTGACGAGTGAGGGCTGGATCTGACTGTGAAACCCCGTGCTTATTAGTTAACTCATTCACTGCCAGCCATTGGCAGTGAATGAGTTAAACCCATTGACTCATTCACTGCCATTGACGGCTATAGACGTCAATGGCAGTGAATGAGTTAATAACTCTATACTCATAGGCTTGTTAATATTAATAGGTCAAGTATACGTCATTAGTCAATTAAACGGTGCTACCAATTTGCTAATGTCGACAATTTGTCATGGACGAGTGTTTATAATTTGGATAATCCTTCTTTATCCACTATTGTTTTTGCCAATCAGTTATGCTATCAATAATAATAATGGATTGCATTTATATAGCGCTTTTCGGGCCCTCAAAGCGCTTTACAATTCCACTATTCATTCACACACTGGTGGAGGTGAACTGTCTTGCCCAAGGACACAATGACCGAGACTGTCCAAGCCAGAGCTTGAACCGGCAACCTTCCAGTTACAAGACAAACTGCCAACTCTTGAGCCACGATCGCCCCAGTCACTACTTTAGACTTTTTTAAACACAGTATGATGTTCAATTTCAACCCAACTCCTCCCTGAGCCTGGTTCTGCCGGAGGTTTTTTCCTGTTAAAAGGGAGTTTTTCCTTCCCACTGTCGCCAAGTGCTTGCTCATAAGGGGTTGTTCTATTGTTGGGTTTTACTCTAATATTAAAGGATCATTATCTTTCAATATAAAGTACCTTGGGGCAACTGCTGTTGCGATTTGGCACTATATAATTAAAACTTAAATAAATTGAACCATTTCAGTCTTCATCTGCACCCTGTGGCTTTGGATTATTAGTTAGACAACAAAATATTTTATGCTGCCATCCAAGTTGACTCCAGTGAACTGTAATAAGCTTCTTCCTTTCTAAACATTTTTTCTTAAAAAAACACAAAAAACCCCACCAAAAGACAACTGAGATATTAATTAACACAGAAAATAAGTCTTAGCCACAGACTGTGCTGTACATCAGTCCTACAGCTCTATCCTGGTGGCACAAAGGAGGGGTTAAAAATAAAAGATGTGACTGATATTGCTAACTCTTGTTCAGAGTGACGAAGTGACCAACATTCAGTGTTGTTCACATAACGTGCAATTCTCCAGAAAATAGTAGAGGATTGAGCCTGCTATTATTACAGTCAGCCAGACGGTTATAATCGGCTCAGCTAAACGCCACCAACCCCCAACCCCCCAACGACCCCAGAGAAACTCCAACAAAGACAGAAAAGCGCTGGAAATCAGACGGGATTTAAAACCGTGCTGTCTGGGCTCCTCTGGTCTGTCTGTCTGGTCCTCTGAGTGAACCCTGCGGCGGAATCAGTCTGCGTCCCCCCTCCACCTCCTCTTTTGTTAATTATCCAGACAAGACAAATGACCACATTCATCCAGTGATCTTCATGAGGCTGTAATGGAGCGGTCGGCCCCAGACTGAGGCGCGCATTATTTTACGCAGTGGTGAATCCAGAGCACCGTCCCCGGGACACACCACCACCTCCACCACCAACTCCACCTACTGTTGCTGATGCTGCTTTGCACGTTTTCACCTACCCAACACACCGAATGTGCGGGGAGTAGAAACGCGACGAAGGGGTTAAATTTCCACGCAGCTCGGTCGGTGACTGACAGTAATACCTCTTTGCCCTACTGAGAAATCACTGCCTGGAAAGGTCTGAGGCACAAAATATGTCTGCTGTGCACACTTTGTCCGGCTGCACGTTGCTCTTAATCCAACCCTCACAGCGTCCCTGCGAGGATTCTCATCATCTCCTGCGATACTTTCAGGATTATCACGCTGAGCTATTTTTCAGAACGGGTGTAGGACACAGTGCCCACAGCCGTTACTCCACTCGGACGGCCTTCCCGTGAACCCGCCGGTGTGCCTAACGTGTACAGTGTGTCCGTGCACGTACAGTTTAAGTTTGTCACGTCAAACTCACCGACATAATGCACCACACACGTCTGTCCTTTTTTGGGGAAAGTCCGTCCTGTGGAGAAGCCAAAAGAGAGCTCAACATAACATGCTCATGACGCAATTAAGGCGCTGTTTCTATGGCTGCACGCAAGCACGTTAAAATGTACAGCAGGCTTTACCGTCACCGGGGGTGATGGTCTCGATTTCGACTCCCATTTCAGCGCTGTGCGTCCTGGAGCTGCTGCTGCTGTCCCTGAACACGGCAACACTCCTCCCGCAGTCAGTCTGTCTGCGCGCTCCTCCGGCGGATGTTCCACATCTCTCTCTCTCTCTCTCTCACTCACTCACTCACTCACTCTCACACACACACACACTAGCGTCAATGGCTCACATCAACACTTCCGCCCACGACCACCAAAGTAAAACCCAATCTAAATCACTGGAACGGACCCCTGGCGGCCACAGGCCACCCGTTTTCATATTTAGATGAATGTTATTAGAATAAATAAAATCAGTTTTAAAAGTGAATAATATATTGTTCAGATATTATCTTGTGATTTAAAAAAAAAATCAAGATTAAAAAAGTTTGCAAATAACAGAAAAACAGGCCTTCAAAAAGGAAAAACCGATCACAGCGCACTGGGTTTACTCTGGGCACCAGCAAGTGCTCCTTAAATGCAAAAGCACAACGTAGCAAGAAATTAAAAAAGTTACGCGCCATTCATTTCTGACTGAAAGAAGAATCAGGACTGACCTGCTTCTTAGGTTTTTTCATTCTCCATGGTTCATTTTTTTCAACCTTATGTCTAAATTTTATCTTGCCATGTTTATTATATTATTATTAAAATATTATTTTATTGCTGCTATTGTTCTTGTACTATTTTACGGTGACCTTGAGGGTCTTAAAGGCACCTATAAATAAAATGTATTATTATTATTATTATTATTATCGTTAAACTGTAGTGCAGTAGTTGAGACTGTTATGCTAAAGTCACTATAAAATATTTGCATGCCAACCGAGTCCACGTGGATGTGTGTGTGTGGCCTCTGAGATACATCTTAATTCAGAATACAGTAAGCTTAAACTGTATGTGAGAACAGGAAAGGAAATATTTAAAGTGGAAGCTTTTTTTATTCATGAGAATGATTTTAGGTTTCTTAGATCTAAACACTATACAGTGAGTCACGTAAGACAAACAATAAAACACTATTAGAACAATGGGGGCCCATCAGATCTGATCAATAGTCAGATATTACACAAAGCTTGACACTTCCATAAATCCATCTACCATGTGTTGCAGATTGCTCAGACCTCCCTCTTCCCACACAACACTCTCCAAAGGGGCACTAAGAAGATATCAAGCCAGCCAAGAGACACAACTGACAATCTCATGTCCAGCTGGGATTGTCTCCCTCCCTTTTGGCATGCCCAAATCCAAGGAGGACCCCTAGATTAGAAACCACATCATCTGCCTTCCTCTCAATTCTTACATTTTAAAATTTTCAACCTCACAGCAGAAATAATCATGTTTACAGTCTGACAGAAACCAAGACTCTACAGATATTTTCTTAAGAAGTGCTATACAGTGGGTAAATATTTTTAGAATGCCTTTGTTTTGTTATAGAAGGTAGCCACTTTGAATAGCCGGCAGCTGTGTGCCAAGCTTTACCTCTGCTAATTACAGTTGGACAAACAATAAAACCTGCTGCCAGATGCAGAGAATCTGTTTGCTTCAGTTTTGGTGAGTTCAGTCTTAGTATTTGATAAGTCTGCTACTTACTAGTTGCTAGCAGATGTGTGTGTTTAATGTTGCATTCATGCAGTTCATTGATGCACCTTATTAACCAAACATGCTAGCATGCAATAACTTGGGCTTCCAGCCTCTTGTCCAAATATGGTCACTCCTGAAAACAAACCAAATATTCTCACAGCCAAAACATCCAGAAGGGCGACGTACCTGTGACAACATCCTTCTTTTAGATACAGTCTGTGTGCCAGACTGACAATGGAAATGGCGGTATTTGGCAATAAGGTGTATACACACCTTTGCTGGGTCCATGTGTAATTTCTTTTGGGAAGTCTGACAAATGGAGGGATTTACACATTAGAAAACCAACATGAAATGTGGTTACGTCACTGATAAACTCACTGATGTCCCCCAGGTGAAATGCTAACATTATCTAGCATATTATAATTCATGTTTTCTCACTTTATAAAAGCAGCAGATATCCCACTAACAATAACAAAAACACAAGACCATCATTTCTTTATACATCAACCATAAAATGGATTTATTTCACCAGAGGTCCAAACATATTTTTGTGTTGCCCCAGGATGCATAGAAGATGTCAGTGTATCTTAAGAATTCAACTTCCGCTAACAAACCAGTGTTTACAATCTAAATGTTCTTTTGCTCGACCATTGGTTTAATAATAAAGCCATGTGTAATTGGTGTTCATATATCAAAATGCCTCTGTCTAACTGGGACAATCTTACAATCGGCGTGAAAAAGAAAAAAACAAAAAAAAAAAAGAGAAGGAAGTGATAAAAGGAGTTGATTTAAAAAAAATAATTCCATCTTCATTTAAACAAATGGACAGGTGTGATTGTGGAGATGCGTAAAGAAGAGTAAGGCTACTGGTACAGGTTTGTTTGGAGAGAGAAAAATCCTTGATGTTTTGTTACATCATCACCCATTTCTCTCCAACATGAATGTGTGGAGAGAAATGGAAACTTGTACAAAGCCACGTCATCATGCGATAATAAACTGGCTTTGGTTATGTGATTCTGGTCTGTGCTGTTGAGACAGAATCAAAGTGAGAATCTGTCACGGTGTGGATCTGCCAAAGCACCGGCTACTGACAGCTGATGGGCTGAGTTAAGGTCTATAGAAAAAGAAAAGATGGGTTAATGGAAAACAAACAAATCTTTAGTGAACACCTTTATAACTAAACTGTCGTTCAGACTGCATCTTCAGGCTCCGACAGGCTCTTACATGAACTCTGTTCCAGTCTGGAAGATTTTTAGTTTCGTCCCCGTTACCGTCTTTCACAGACAGGGAGAGGGAGGAGAATTTGGGGGGACAGGGCTGTGAAGCAGAGTGTTAAGTTTCACTTTAGAAAAACAAAACTGAGAAATTAGAAGTCCATACATAAGTCTGTTTTCTCTCCACCCTCGATAGGGCAGCAGGTTTCAAAGAGCTGCTTAGCCACACCACAGGGAGAGGGAGGAGTGGAAGAGGGGGGAGGGCAGCTGGAGGAGGGGGACAGGGAGAGGGTTCAGGGGGCTGATCTTCCTCTCTCATCCTCACTTTAGCCGCTGGACGATTACAGCATTGAGGAGGTTGGCTTGCTGCAGCGTCTGGCTCTCATCCATCAGCTCCTTGTTGGGAAAGGTGGTCATCAGGACGAACTCTCTGGCAGCCATGGCGGGCCGGGCCGCCACCACAAAGTGCCGCAGGTCAGACACCCTGAGAGACACAAGAACACGGCAGGACAGGAAAGAAGGGTTATATGACAGGATGAAATCTGACAATGTTAGCTTCTACTCTTTGATACAGGACCGATTTCACCTTCTTCGATTATTTAGGCTGGTAGCACTGACCAAGCTAAATGTTGTCTACAGACTCGTGTACCACAGTTTGTGTATCCGTTTCTTTCTCTCTTCTTTAAGAACATGGTTTGTATTGGTGTAAAATCACAGTGTGTTGGGTTTATGAGACAGGGATTCACTGATTTACAACCCCCCAAACCTTGTGTCCCTAATAAGACACTTGAAACAACACAATGTCTCTGCCTTAACAATCACAAGGACTGGTTGCATAACTGGGACCAAATATCTACAGATCTTGTCCTCTTCATATCCACGTCCAGCAGAAACACATGCAACTTAAATTTTTTTACCTGTGGGTATGGTTGAACTTTTGGACCAGCCTGCCACCATCGGCAAGTCTGATCTGAATGTTAGTGACGGGCTGGGAGGGGTCGAGGGTCACTGAGGCACTGGCTTGGGCCTCGTTGGCAGCTTGGTCCTGCTGGGAGGTGGGCGGAGCTGAAATCAACTCTGGTGTGGCGCTGGAGAGAAAAGGGCAAAAAAAACCCCAAACATGACCAAAGTGAACAGAAGTTATGAATGCAAAACATACACAACGTATACTTTAAATACATGAATGTCCACATCTGAAGAATAAAGTAGCTACTGATTTGGTTTGCAGTTATTTTCCAAACATTTGTCTGAAACACTTTAGTTTGGGTTTTGCTTTTCCATTTGCTGCTTGCTGATCGATTTTACTGGGGTTGTATTCAATCAAACATTTAACTATTCAAATTACATGCTCCTGCAGTCCTGTGGACAGCAGACGATTTCATGGCCTGAGGAAAAGGTTTTTAGCTTGAGATTGTATTATTTTCAGATAATAACCGGCCTATAAACCACAACAATGTTCTGGAAACTGATAAAAGTATTAAATATCCCCATCCACAAATAAATAAAGAAAATCAAATAGTGAGAATTTCGATATATATTACAGACTTCTTCCAGGAAATAACTTTGGATGAGAAGATTTTCCAAGCTTCGACAGTCGTGGGTTATTTAATTTTGCTGTGGTACGTTCAAGATTAATGATACGGATAAGACATCGTATCCAGAATGATTCCATACAAATGTCAGGATTGAACCATTGCTTTGGAATTGTCTTCTTTGTACTTACCGTCAACATGCATGACTTATGCAGGTTATTAGTAACCTTGGAGTTTCTATGACCCATAGAAACCAGTAATTCATCCAGATGATTCATGATAACTTGAAAAACGAGGCAGACTGGTTCACTGGCCTTTATATGAATGAAGCTTGCACTGAGCTCAGTCAGTGCTTTTTTAAAAACCATACAATAGACACAATACAGCTACAATGTTAAATCAAACATCATCCTCACCTCCCCAGCTTCTGTCCTTCACCGTCAAAGGCTTTGAAGGCCATCCTGGGCTTGGTAAAGTCCTCATCTCTGTGGTCCTCCATGTCTAGGTTGACTTGGCCCCCTCGAGACCGCTGTCTCAGCTCAAGAGGAATCTCCCTGTGGGATGAGGATGAACGGGTGAGTGTGGAACTAACATTCATCAGGACATAAGACGAGCCGAAAAGCAAATTACTGAAATTGCAAACAAATAATAGATTTCAGCTAATCTCACCCTCTTCTGATCGCTTCAAGGAAGTTGGCATTTCCAGGATCATCGTAGCTTCTGAGTTCACCGTTATCCAGACTGAAACCGGTCTTCCACAGCTTAAGCACCACATGTACCTAACACACACACGCACGCACACGCACACACACACAGTTTGAGACTGACAGACAGATTGGTGAGGAGTTGGCACTGAATGAGACGCTGTACCCACCCGTTGCTCTGAAGAGACCCGAGCTGTCCACTCACAATTCAACCTACGTTCCTAGCCTTAACTACAGTCACAAAGTCACAGATACAAGCATCAGAAATTAGTTTTCTTTAAAGGCTGGTTGGGTGGAGCAGAGGCGCAGCTCCTCCACAAAGAAAAGGGAGCCAGCTGAGATGGTTTGGGCCTCTGACTAGGATGCTTCCTAAAGGCCTCCTAGGTTAGGTGTATGATTTGCATTATTAATGCAGTTAAATATAGTTATTCTAACAAATCTAGTGATGATTTCTTAGAATAACGCTCTAAAATCAGCTCCTTTTATTTTGTACTGTTGGTGCTGCTGAAACATGCATTTATATACTTTCAGGCAAACTGTGCTCTGCAGAGTGCATTCAGGCTTGATACATAATTGCAGCATATTTGCCACAGAGTGCCTGTAATAGTGCAACATCCCTGCAGGATTTGTCTGGTCTTAGTGGCTAAAGAGACCTCTACTCTGCCTACATATTCTTTCAGATTTATGGGCTACTTTTAGAGCCAATATACTTTTTGAAATACTCTCAGAACAACAACTTAAGTGCATCATGCCTTTCAGCACTGGTATGCTTTGTGAGATGGCCGTGAGTGCAGTTTATATAACAATGCAACAAAACAAACATCTCGGTGTTATGTGACTCTACTCATCAGGATACTCTTTAGGATTTGATTAATGATTAGTTGGATTCCTGGAACAGGATTGATCACCCTTCATCTGTTACTGTCTTGTTTTATTGCTATAAACGTAAGAGCCCCAGGCTTTGATTGACTGAAGTCTACCTTGGAGCAGATTCAGAAACACGGGACAGGAAACAATGCAAGGACTGAATTACCCACAAAAAGAAAGAAAATAATCTACACTCACATCCTGCTGCCTGTTGGAAGCTTGCCTCTCACCAGCCACATAAGTTGACTCCTCCTCAGGGGCTGCTCCTAGCCTGTAACCTCCGCCAACAAACGCCTAGAACAAAAAGTACAATCAGAACAGAGTAACTGATTTACAGACACAAAAGAAATCTGCTAACAGGAGCAACATAGAAGAGAAGAGCCTGTCATGGACAGCTGTTCACAGTAGCTATACTTCACCTTAGCTTTGCTGGGCTCCCCCAGTCCTCTCCCGCTGCGGTCCAAAGGCACAGCTCCGTGTTCCTTCGCCCCCTTGAACAGATCCTCTACCACTTCATTGGAGCTCTTTTTCTTAGGAGGTCCCACAATCTGTTGCCCACTGCGCTCTGATCCTCCTGCAAAAAACCTGAGAGGGTGGGAATAGAGCTAGTTAGAAGTCTTTTATAAACAGAACAACAGCCACTCTGGGGAAAGAGAGAGAATAGTGTTCTACAGGGTCGCATGTCACAGTGTGAGAGTGAGGATAATAAAGCCATAATTGCAAAATAAAGGTTGAAAAACAACAGTGTTTCTGTGCAAAAACTAAAGTCCTTGTCCTTTGTGCCCAATAAAGACTGTTTACAGTGAGTCTCTTGTCTTGCTGATGGACAACTGGCCGCAGTAATCCTTGTTCTGTGCTGCAACCTTTATAAGCTTGGCACAGCACAAGATCTGGTCGGAGTGGTCCTCCAGCTCACAGTTGGTGTCTAGAGCAAAGGTACTGACCACAAGTAAAATAATGGTTCTGTTCTCTTGGAGGTATGACAAATAAACTAAGTCTATTGGTGTATGGATAGTATGTGTGTTTATGTGTGATTTTTAGGAGTAAGCTTATTTGGGTAGACTAAAAAACACATTTAGTGATTTATCTTTACTTTTTCATCCACCTGAGAACACAGGGCAACTGACTGATTATTCAACAGTCTCCTGGCTTTTATTTTGAAAGTCAACTTGCTGCTAACCAGCTAGCTCTGGTCTTTCCTGTCTATCCTTTTCCTTACAAACAGGCTAGTCAGGTAACTCCTACATCTTGGACTATAAAGTGTACATGGTTTTATTTAATAATTTGTAGGAGGATCACCACAGGAAAGACAAGTTCAGAATCTTTCAGACAGATCTCAACTGTGTGTAGAAAACTGAATGAAGCCTTCATGGTGGATCTACAGGGGGGAAAAAATCAATTCTGAAACCAACTGAGAAGAAGGGAGAAAAGTGCTTAGATCTAGAAACAATGCATGGACTACAGACCATTCAGTACAGTAACTGTATGAGTGAGAAAAGCAGCCATATGTTAGAACTTATTCAAGGGTGTTGGTCAGGCTTCATGTGACAACCTGATAGAGTGGAAAGTTGTAATCAAAGCTCAAGGTACAAACATTTAACAATCGCAAATTGAAAGCACTTTTCTCAATGTGTCTTTTCATAGCTTTAAAGTTTTGATACATAATGAAGAAAATAGGCAAAAGAAAATGGAACATCTCTACTGAGTAGTCCTTTGCAGCGTATCAGCTGTTTGGACAACAAAGAAATAAGATGAGCATACAGTTGCACTGGAGACGGGTGTCTGGGTAGCCAACTATGTGCACATTGTTCTAGTAGTCAGGCAGCAAGACAAACAATGTAACCAGACTTGAAAACTGCACAATCTACAGTGCTGCATTATATAATTCTTATGCATGTTAAAGTGTGTCGCCTGGATGGAAACAAACTTAAAAATGATAGACATGAAACGAAACTGACAACAGGTGTGCTGTGGAGGCAACAACAAGACAACAACAAAGAGGGAAAGCTTTTGCAGACCAATGCTCTCTTCTTATCCCTCCTAACTGATTTTATTTTCTAAAGCTGGTGTCATAGTAGCATGTGACTGTACTGACAGCTCCTTAAGGTTGCACAGGTAGTCCTGCAGACTGACTTGTCAAGAAGTTCTCAAGAAATACGGCACCATTTCTACAACAGGTACTGTCTCATGCTACCATAGAAGATAATACTACTAACAAAAGGAAAACTACAGAAAACAATTAACATCAGAGGTAAAGAGAGAGCAGCTGCTGTAAAACCATTCCCTGGTCTTGTTGTTGTCTGTATACTGCACCTGTTGTGACTGTCGTTTGCACCAAAGTCAGTAAAATGGATTCACAATGGTTTACACTTCCTAACTGGATCAACTGATATCCCTGAAGTTGAACTGACTTTGATTAATACAGCAATGTGTGAATGTCCCTTCACTCATTTTGAGCTGTGTACATATTGAAATAAAGACACTCCCCCCTCCTCCAAACTATCCCAGAAGCCACTGTGCACTGAGAAACAGAACCAGAAGAAATGTTGATTATAAATGACATCATTACTGACTCTGGAATAAAATACTGTGTTCTTTAGCTCTGTTTGCTTGGATGAAATGAAAAATGACTATGAAGGTTATCAGTACCCCCACACGGTCCCCTTAACAACTAGTCCACTGCACTGATCCAGCAGCAGAATCTGTTGACACAGCAGGAAAGCGACCAGCTCCCAGAGAATGAGGTGTTACCAAAAATAGTTTGGTGCATTCTGGAACCACGCCAGCAAGGTGTGACTTTGTACCATCCATCCACAGCTCAAACAGACAGCAACATCTGTCACACCCATTCTGAAAGGCCTCCAGCACAAAAAGGTATTCACCTCCTTTGCTCGTAATTATCTATTTGAGTATTATACTGAGATACACTGAAGCTTTTCTGTAAGTCAGCCTAAGAGAGCTGTGGTCCTTTTTCCACACCTTTTCCACACACTCACTGAAGATAATAAACAGACAAGAGGGAAGCACACTTACCTTTGGCCTTCCTCTTCATCACTCTCATCCTCTGCTTCATGCATTAGATCTCTGAAGGAGGTCACTCTGGGCTGACTACTGGACGATACAATTGTATAAATACATGTACAAGTGTCCTGTACTTAAACAAAAACGTCCCTCTTATAATTGTGCCATTACATTGTGATTAAAGCACTGACAGGCTGGATGGAGACTGTACCTGGGGCCTGCGGATCGGGACACCGAGGAGCCTCCCTCAGGCTGGGGAAGTGTCACTATGTCATCATCGGCTCCGTCTTCAAAGAAGCTGGCAAGTGCAAGCTGAGGATGCAAAACGAGCATGCAAATGTGACAGCACGAAGCAGACAGTAAGATAATATCTGACGAGCTCCAGATGCTACAGTACACCGCTCCGGTAACACGTCAGTCAAGAGCTCACGTCAAACATTCTCGGGGATTAAGCGATTTAGCCACAGTTTCACTGACTTATTTTGTTTTTGTCCACTAACGACGCTGGTACAGTGAAGAAACTGCCCATGTCTGTGTTATCTTACAGTATCAGACCACGCAAATACTGTGGATATGCGTTTATTTCCCTAACCCCCCCCCCCACACACACACACACACACACACGTTATTCTCCCATGGAGCAGCCCATACGACCCGGGAAGGTGGCTACTAATAATAACCATTTTATTTAGCGTTGCATGCTAACGCTAGCTAGCATGAGTCAATAGGTTTACGGCAGACCAGCTTAGACAACACTTAATGGACAATCTTCTTTAGGATAACACAGCAGTAGTTACTGCACGCGTGACGCTATCAGCTGACTAACTGCACGCGTGAATTGTTGCTGATGATAAGAAGCAGTCCGGCCATTGTCAAAGGGTGACTTGCACAAATTACCGGCAAAACCCGGCTAACGTTAGCCGTCGAGCTACTGGTCTGGCACCTGCCCGGTAACCTGAGTTTCCTTCATAGGGTCTTTCATACAGTCCACCGCAGCTCCACGGAAGATCACAGAAAAGCCGTACCTGCAGATTCCAGCCGGCAGACTCCAGGAAAAAACGGGCCCTCTCCTCATCCACATCAGTAACAGCGACGAACTCCCTCACTGACTCCTCTTGGTTCGCCATTTTGATTCGCTCCTTCAATAACTCGTCCGCCTCCACCTGAAGAAACTAGCAACAGATGATGGTTCCTATCCTGTTACAAACCAGACAGGAAGCAATTGTTAAACACATCACAGTCAAAAAAGATCCCATGTGGTTTCAAACTGTATTTTATTATTTTTTCAACGAGTATCGACAGCTCTCATAATTTTGAACACAGTGTATTTTTTTATTAAAATTTTCTGCGTTGTTAACATGATTTTAACCACTTGGTGGCGACATACCCACAGGTTAAACTGAGCAGTAACTCATTAGCGTTACACTGTGTAATGTTTGTTCCTGTGTATGGAGTGTTTTAAGTCATTACTTATTCCTTATTCCTTATTCCTCATTACTTATATATATATATATATATCATCCTTTTCAAACTTTGCTTCTGAACTAGGACAAAGAAGTCTATAAATTTAACTGTGTTGGAGTTACATCAGAAAGAGTATCTGGTGTAAAGGCTGCCTGCTGGGCTGACCCCTTGTGACAAGCGAGTTGCTGGGAGAGAGAAAGAGAAAAGATCACCTCTTATTTTAAACAGACTATAACAACTTTCTAGCTTTTCTTCAGGCCCTGTCAGGGTTTTCATCTCATTTTGTCTCGTTAATCTGATTCCATTCCAACAAACTCTGACACATCAATGTGGGAACTTCTAAGCCCCTATCTCTAGTTTATATTTTTATGCAAGTGCTCCGTGAAACAAATGCTGACTGAAATGTCAAACACCCTCACCTCTGGCAGAACTGCTCCAGGAAACATGTTCCTCTGATTCCAGTATGATAAGCAGATGGTGAGAATATTCCCATGGGTGATAGGCTACCTTTGTATTCCAATAAAGTGTCTGATCGCAGGCTGGTCAGATGGCACAAAGCAATCCACATTCAAACAGATTTGGACCGTCTTAATTTTTTTCTGGGGTGGGGGGGTGGGGTGGGGGGTGGGGACATGGGTTGGTGGGGTTATTTGTGCCATGTGCTCTTCGTTGTTTGATCTTCAAGGCTAATTAATCTGTAGTGAAGTGAGAAAACCCTGCTGTCACATTGGTGAAGCACAACACCCACCATCCCCCAACAGACACAGACAAAAGATGGAGATAAATAAAGGAAAAATACAGTGAGGAAGTTTAAGAGGCTGTGATCATATAGTTCCCCCTTTGGATGTTTTTAGCTTCAGGCTCTGCGTAATGAGGCAACAGCACCCAGATTCAAAGCAAGAGAGGGAATGATATCAGGAAGAGAGTGAAGTGTAAACCTGCAGACCAATGGAAGAAAAACAAGAAAAATCACATGCACATGATGTATAAAGTGAAAAAGGAAGAAGACTAGAAGTAGTTGTTATCATGTCCTAAAGCCTGTCACACACCAACACACACTAGAGTCAGCTTCAACCCATGTCACAGCTTGACATCAGTGAATCTTGCCTCAGGAAATCCTGAAGGCGTGAGTGTTGATTTATGTGTGTGTTTATGGTCCCATGAGATTGGAGGCTGATGTTGTCGAAGTGTAATGTTACAGTGAGCCTACAGTTGCAAAATGTTAGAAGTAGACGGCAGACTTTAGATGTCAGCTGAAGTCAGCTGAAGTTAACTGGAATGTCACTGGAAGCGTCTGATGAACTGACGGACAGAAAACGTGACCTCCTCCCCTCCTGTGAATAGTAAATACATAGTGAAATGTAAATAGTGTTTTCACCTTTAAGGTTCAGTGGGACTGGCACCACACTGATATACAAGAAAATTAAGGGTTTTAACGTGTTTCTAATGTTGTAAGAGATTACTTTTAAGACATGGTATTTGCCTAACCAGGTAGTTTTGGTGGTCAAACAGACAGAACTAAAATCTCCTGGACAAGATTTCAATGTGTTTGTGTGTGTCATTCCCCGTTAGTGCAGATGGTTTTAGGCTTTTACAGTGGAAAGATTATTTTAGCAACACTTGAGATTGTTAAGATAGTTAAGATAGATAATAAGAACACACAACAAATATTACAAATATGTGTCATACACCAAAATAGTAGTGGACTCTAGAGCAGTGCAGACAAATTAAAAGTTTGAGAGATTTATTAAATAATGACAAAGAAATACTGGAGGAGATGTCAGCTATGAGACTTCCTGGGGACCGTTTGGCTTATGAGGACTGGAACCACTGAGAGAGAGGAAGAGGCAGGTTGGCTCAGGTTAACCTACAGACAAGACTTCCACAGCATTGTCCCAGAGGGTTTTACTTAATTCAATTCTATTTTATTTATACAGTGCCAAATCACAAGTCGCCTCAAGGCGCTTTATATTGTAAGGTAGACCCTACAATAATACATACAGAGAAAAACCCAACAATCATATGACCCCCTATGAGCAAGCACTTTGGCGACAGTGGGAAGGGAAAACTCCCTTTTAACAGGAAGAAACCTCCGACAAAAACGCTCAGGGAGGGGCGGGGCCATCTGCTGCGACCGGTTGGGGAGAGAGAAGGAAGACAGGATAAAAGACATGCTGTGGAAGAGAGACAGAGATTAATAACAAGTATGGCTGATCTGGGGAGGATACTTGGAAGGGAAGCACTGATCTGTTTTGTGCCAGGGCAGACAGGTGAGTAGATGCGGTAATTCTCTGACGGATTCCAAAGAGAATGGACCAGCTAGATGAGAACAGGTAAGTTCGGCCACACAAGGAACACTGGGAGACAAGGAAATTGAGACTTTAGTTTGAAGGTTTGTGAAAAAACAAGAAAGTCACAGAGGAGCCTGATGACCACTCTAAGGAGGCAGACAATCAGATACTGGATGCTGGAGCTGGACCTTAAGTGCTGAAAATAAGACTGACAAACAACAGTGTGGCGGCTGAAAAACGGGACTCCATCCTCAGGCACATCATCACCTGCTTAACCCAACTTCCAACCTACTTGTTGAAAGTGGAATACCAAAACAGCAACGGGACCAGTGCAGGACCATGACTATATAATTGTTTAGCTGGAGGACCTTCTGGAGAAAATAAAAGATTTAGAGATTTGCTACCTGAAATGCATGTGTCATTTTTTATAACGACTACAATTCAGTAGCCTACTCTCTACTTAATTGTGGAATGGTAAATTCATGGCCTTGCCTTAAAGGGGACATGAAACGCTACACATATAAAGGCTAATTTACACCATTGAGCCCTACTCTCAAAAACTGAAATCGATGTAGCTCTGTAAAGTTTTAAGAACATGTTCAGCACCATCTTCTGTCAGTAAGAAATGTGGTTGGTTGCAGTTAATAGACTTACACTAGTTTATGTTAGCTAACTAGTGACAGAATCGGTAACTCAGGGGAAAATAAGGACACTACAACTGAAAATCTGTTTAAGGAGATCACATTTGTGCTGCAGCAATGAGTTTTATGTTAAGAAACAGAGGACACACTGTCCACTTTCACTGCCTGTCTCTGTAACTCTCTGTCTCAGTGGCTGTTCGCTGTTTGGCTAGTTGCACTCAAACAAGAAAATCCAGCTATTTGTGATGCAGTATATCCTCGGCTTCTGAGCATAAAACTCAAACACAAAACTGTTGCAACCAGGGACACCACAGAAGTGATCCCTTGAGCTGATTTTTGGTTGTAGTTTCGTTATTATTATTGTTATTATTATTATTATTATTATTGTTATTATTATTATTATTATTATTATTATCATCATCCAACAATATTCCAGTTCTAATCTAACATATATCAAATTTGTTGTTGGCTGTTTCTCTTGCTCCCACTCTTTATGCTAACTGATGCTACTCTCTCCTGGCTCCCCCTCAGCATACAATGCATAGTTATAAAAGTGGTATCCGTTTTTTCATATTTTGTACAAGAATGCTAAATATAGTATTTCTCTGAATTTAAAAGTATGTAAATTGTAGTTTGTTTTATGATGTATTTAACATTAGTAGATATGATTAGAGAGTAGATAAATTAGATATGATTTCAGGTTCTATTGTGATAAAGTTACCATAGGATTATAGTTTCTGTTCATATGTGTGCAATAGCATGATAATCTTAATATTGTATCTTTCAGTTTTTCTTATTAGAGGTAAAAACACCTTCCTATTATAGGACACAGTAATTTAATTTTGAACTGCCTTCAGGAGGTCAGTATCCAGCAGAGCGTAAAAGAAAGCTGCTGTTTGAGGTTTGTTAGTCCAAGCGTACATAAACCTAGAGGCCCCTGAACTTCCCTCCACCTCCCTGCCACTCACTCTTCTAAATCATGTACAAGTTGCACAATCGCAATTACCAGTGGTGTCATCATGTCATAAAAGAACCACAGCATAGAACAACTCAAGACTTAGTGAAGGTCTACAATCTTCAGGAGAGCACCAAATAAGTGATGGCTACTTTTGAAGACTATGTCATAGAAATTCAAGGATTTATTATACTTACCACTTAACTCTTGACTGGTACCAACTTGTATCAGTACATATTTCAATAATTCGTTGTGTTCCTGCTCTTTATTCATCCTCCACCTGCTTTAGTATTGTCAAGCATAGCAATATGCTCATTTGTCTTTAGGCAGGGAGTAGCTAATAGTAACAATTGCAGGCTAAAAGGTCAAGGCCTTGTGTTAACTGCCCTGTTAAAGTCACAAACAATTCATTCTGCAGAGAGGAATCCTGCAACAAAGGAAGCATATATGTGCAACAAGGTGATGCTGGGGATATGTCATAAAATAAATAAAAATCACTATAATTTCCAATCAAACTGGTAATTTCTGCTGCAATAGACACACATCATGTGTCATAAGCTTTTATTGTAATCTGATATTATGTGTAACACATTTTTTAAAATTTACTTTAAAAAAATTAAAAAGTTTAATTTAAAGTTTATTTTAAAAAATGTTCTAAAAACACTGGGATTCTGTATAAAATGTCAATAAAACAAAATTTAAGGGTTAAAATCCACATTTTATTCATAATAAAGCAGGGAAAACATGTCACTGTTTTCTATGTTCTATGGTGAATAAAATATTTGCACATTTACAGATCATTGTATTCTGTTTCCACAGCATGCCA